TTCCATTCTAAAGGCATAAGGACCTAATTGAGCTTTTAATGCTTCTTGCTTCATGAGGCTAAGGGAAATGATTCTAACGCACTGCATCTGAGTTGTCCCTTTAGGCAGGGTTACACCAGATCAGTGCAGTAGCTTTTGGTCAGCAGGAGCAGCAGCCCCACTGGTGGGAGGGTTCAGGTGTACAACAGTGTGCACTTCTGCTGAGTAGTCAGGGGGATCAGGAGGGATAGGTGGGGAGGCAGAGGATGGATAAAAGGGGGGGCAGATGGTGTTACCTGTCGCAGGGGCACTCTGGTGCCCTGCTCCTATAGAAGGACAGGTGTTGGTTGTCAGGGCAACCACGGTTGGTCAGCTGACCAGAAGGGGGCAGGGCCTGACCTATATAAAGGTGATCCAGGCTGAGGCCAGGAAGGCAGTTCCCCTCTGGGAGCTGGGGAAGTAGGAGCTCTATTGGAGCAGGCCGTGAGAGCAGTCCAAGGGCCTGAAACAGCTCCCAGGTGAGGAGAAACCCCTGGTAGGGGTTTGATGGAGGTTTAGCTAGAGGGCTAGAGTTTGTGTTATAGCCAGGAGGCTTATTTCTGTGTTGTAGCCAATTGGCTTATGGTTTTACTTTGTCGTTACACTGGAGGACCGGGTGAGGCTAACAGGGGTTGGAGGAGGCCTCAGCGGGGCTCCACAGTGGTGGGGACCCCGGTGCCAGTGAGGGCACCGCATTTAGGGGTGCACTACCCCAGCCCTGACGAGGGGCACAGAGAACGGGGGGCCAGGTAAGGACAAAGCTGCCTGTGCCCCCACAGGAACTGTTGACCCAAGCAGGGGATTTAGGGGCCAGGCACGGCTACGGCCACCTGAGCCCCAAGCGCAGAGAAAGGCCCTAGTGCGGGCAGAGCCCCAGGGAGGGGTGTGCAGGCAAGAAGCCCAGTGAGGGCACAACGTTCAGAGGGGCACTGACCCCAGCCCTGTGAAAGGGGCACGGCGGATTTCGGGGCCAGGCAAGGCTAAGGCCACCTGAGCCCCAATTGCAAGGAGCACCAGTGTGGGCACCGGCAAGAAGCCCAGAGAGTGCTTGTGTTACGCCCTAGGGTGGGCACACATGAATAGAAGCCCAGGGTAGGGTGATGCTATAGAGATGAGCCCCAGGGGAGGGTGATCCTATAGAGGCGGGCGCACAGAGAGAGGCCCCGAAGGGGCAAGCACGCCAAGAAAAGCCCCGAGAGGGCTAGCAAGCCCGGGGGCGCCAGTGAGGGGTGCCGGTTGCGTGGCAAGCCCGGGGGCGCCAGTGAGGGGTGCCGGTTGCGTGGCAAGCCCGGGGGCGCCAGTGAGGGCGCAGAAAGGAAACTGACCAGACAACATCCGGTACATCAGTGAGGCTTGGGGTGTGGTAGAGGGGAGGTTGGAGCCACGCATAGCCCATAAGGATGGGGTGCGCCAAGTCAGTCCATAAAGAACCGGGGGTCAGGATAGACCCGAGCACCGTGTCCAAGGGGACAAAAGGCAGCCTCCATTATAAATATAGATACCATCAAAGACATGGCGGGCGAGAACGAGGGTGCTTTATACCTAACTTGGCACGGTAGGGGTGTTAGGAGAGATCACGGCCGCTCCTAAGACCCCGCGCTGTGACATTACCGAGGGCGGCATCTTGCCGCTTGGAACAGTGACACCCTGAGAATCAGCTGCATTTCCCAGAGCCTCATGCTCCACCTGCACCTTATCAATAAGAGACTTGAGAGATTCAATCTCGCGCTTTGCATTTCGCAAATCCTCTGAGTCTCTTTCCTTTATCTCAACGGCAAGCACCAAAGTGCGGTTGAACAATTGCTGTTGGGCTACAACTTCTTTAACTTGACAAATAAGAGTATTCTTCTCTTGACAAAGCTTTTCCTGTTCTTGACATTCAAGCCACAAGGCCTGAACACCCAAGACAACACCCGGAGGGCAGGTGCTTTCCAGAAGCTTTGATCCATGCTTTTTCACTTAAAATTCCCTCAGCCCAATCCTGAGCCGTACTCCAAGCCAGACTAGATAGACTGTCCTGGGTCCCCTGCAGCGGACTCCTATTCCGTTTAACTCAACTCTCAATAAAATTGCGGTCACCCTGACCCCACACACACAAACGAAGAGCCTCGAAACCTGCTGCCATGCTGCTGGGGAAAGGTAAAAGATGGGGTATGATAACTGAGGCAGCCCAGAAGAACCTAATACGCCAGTAGGCCTCCTGTAGGATCAGGATGATCAGTCCCCTCCAAATGTGTGTCGAATCCTGCCAACTACGCCAAGGTGTTAGACCCCGACTCCATGTGGCACCCAACAACTAGGGAGACAGTGATCCAATTGCTCATGAGTCCTGTTACTCATTAGCCAGAGCAAGCAGGGAGCAAACACTACTTGTACACATTGCTCACAACAGCTTTATTCAGAATGGAGACAGCTTTGGGTAAAGGTCCCAAAAAACACCAGCAAACCAGGGACCTGTGATGAACAATAGTTCTTTCCACATTTTATACACCTTGATTCATGCTCATTAACCTCACCTCTGTCCCTCCTTTTGCTCCACCCATTTCTCCTCCCATCTCAAGTTCTGCCTCTGTTTACTGTTTGTTTCATTGACATGGAATTACCTATTCATTTATATGTCTTTTTGCTATGAGTGCATGTCTAACACCTTGACTTTACTTCTTTGGTCAATGGTTGGACTTTGACCAAAACCTGGAAGCTTTCTGGAAGCTTCTTCACCAATCACCATTCACCTTTTCGCATATGTTCATCTCAGATTCTGTTACCAATTACATGTTGTTCTTTCACATTCCAATCTGTTTTTCTGTCCCACTTTGTAACATCTTCCACATTCCTAAAGCTTCACCTCATTCACAGACTCACGCAGACTCACTTGCTGCTTTTTCTCAGAAAATGGTTGACACCGTTAAGATGGTTACTTAGCATAAGCAAAGGGCTGGATTAGATATCATTCTGCCTTGTGGTCAGCGGCTTTTGCTGGCCACAGGTTAAAGCCTTCATTCAGCTGCAAATGCAGTACTCCCCAAGATCCAAATATGGTCACCCTTACAGGCAGTATCAGCTGTAAATGGCTCAGAGGGAATGATTCTCTTCCTAGGACTCTGGCAACGTCCAGACAGACAAGTGCAGCAGTGCAGTATGTGGCAACACAGACATGTCGGCAGTGCCACATACCACACATTCAGTTGTTCTCCAAGCTGAAAGGGAGCAGAACAGAGGGTTTTTTGACCCCTGGATATACCAAAAAACCCCAGAGAATAAAAGCAGAGCAGCACACATGGGGGCAGCGCATGCCACCGGAGCTGGGCCACCCAGAGCTGCACTGCAGCTACCAGCCACGCTCCGCATGGCAGAATTGCTGCTACTGCAGCCCCAGGAGGCTCCCAGGACTGGCCCCAGCCTCCCCTACCACCCTGGGATAACTTGCATGGCCCATTCCTTGGGCGCCGTGGCAAGGTGTGCCACCACTAGTTGTCCTTGGGGAACCAAACGTCCACACTATGTGTGGGCGTGGCCTAGGAGGGTAAAAAAAATAACTAATCTGAGCATCAGATTCCTTTTCAGGTAAAGAAGAGATTTTTTTTACACTAAGATAGCTAATTATTATTAACTATGCACACACCTCTTATGTTACACCCTCCCTTTGACCCCACATAACCTGCAGGTTGGAACTGGAGTTATGGGGGAGGGGGTGGCAATTTGGAAGCTCCACAAGCTTAGGCAGTTGCACAACAACTCTGAGCCCACAATACACCACGCAGATGTACTGCAGCTTAAATAAAGATCCAAGCTGCTGCAATCCAAATTAAGTCCCTTCATTAATGCAGAGCTCTGGGCATGACACAACTCACAAAGCCCTTTCTGAGGTTTGGAGCTACATCAAGCTCAAATCCCATTCAGGCTTCCACTCACTTGTATTAGATCAGCATCAGAACTGAACCTAGGGCTTCCAGATCTAAAAACTCTCAAAAGACAAAATTAAGTCTTGACCTCTAAGAACCTTATACACCTTCATGGCCAGCTAGTAGAAAAAAACTGAGCCATAAAGAGCAAGCATGGATAGGACAGGAGGGTGTAATATGCAAATAATGACCACTTTGTGTTGGCAAATGGCATGATGTAGCTGCAACAATTTAGGCCCTTTAACTAATTCTGTAGTCAATGGGAAATTTTTGAGTAGATAACCTATGTGACCTAAGGAAGCAAATGGCTGCAACAGATTAGATTTAAAAGGGCTGAAGTGGGAAGCAGGACCAGTGCCATTAAAATGATAAAACCTGGCAAATCAGAGATAAACATTCCTCGGGTTGAAAACCAGATCAGGAGACTTCCTGACAGGGGCCAAAGACAAAAGTTAAGGCAGCCAACGGCAGAAGGGGAATACATCACCCATATAAGAGCCATTAAAAATGAGAACCGTAGCCCTCCACCCCACCTGCCAAGAGCTGAGGAGCCCAGGGACTCTGGCCTCGGGCCCGTGTAAGACTTATGTAGGTCTCAACTCAGGGAAAGTTCCTGTCGTTTCTTTGTCTTATGCTTAAAAAGGTGAGCGGCGGCTCTTCCAGAAACGCGACAGGAAAGTATCAGCTCCTGCTCCAAACGGGCCCGCCTCGACCCCGCTGCTGAAGCGTCCCGTCGCACAGCTCCCGCGGCCTGCGGCAGCCGGTGCCCTGGCCTAACCGGGCAGAGCTGCTGATGCCCCGACAGGCAGCCCGGGCCCTGCGTTAGCTCCGATCAGGGGTGAGCCCTTCAGAGCAGCCCGGGGGGACCTGAGCGTGCGCTCCCCGACGCCGAGCTGACAGCGGAGTGCGCCAGCAGGGGCTGACTAACGGTTGCTGCGGGACCTGAAAGCGCCCTGCGCTGCTCCGCCCTTACGTCATCCCGAGCAGCCCCAAGACCACGCCCCCTACAAGGCTAACTAAGTCTTTCGAGCTCGATTAACTTCTACCCCGGAAGAGAAAGTCGCGGCTTGTTTCCGGCAGGTGGGTGGCCGGCCCTGCGCGGGAGGTAGTTGCGCGCCGCGAGGGAGCTGCCTTGTAGGCCAGGCGGGCGTGGAGAGGCCGTGGCGACCCTGATGCTGCGCTCGCTCTACCCGCTGCTCTGCCTGTGCGCGCTGCATGCGCCTGGGCGGCCCCGGCAGGGCGCGGAGAGAGGGGAGGTAGTTGCTGGTGCAGCCGCCCACGAAGTTGACGCCGCCTTGTACAGGTGAGTGGGGCTCTGGGGCGGGTCCGCTCGGCACCGCTGGCCGCAGGTGTTGGGCGCCGTGCCGAGCCCGGCCTGGGAGCGGGGGGAAGCGCGGGCCCCGCCCTGAGCGCGCCGTGCCGCTGTGCGCAGGGAGCGGGTCCGGGCCATGTTCTATCACGCCTACGACAACTACCTGGTGCACGCCTTCCCCTACGACGAGCTCCGGCCGCTGACGTGCGACGGGCAGGACACGTGGGGCAGGTAGGGTGCAGCGCTTCGTGGGGAGGGCCTGGCACCTGGAGCGGAGCAGCCAGCACTTGGGCCGTGGCCCGCTGCTGGGCGATGCCTGCTGCTCTGTTCTGCTGGTGGCAGTGCGAATCAGGTGCTGCCCCCTGCCCAGCTGCCTGGCTGTGGCACTGAGGGCCCAGCTGCACACTCGCTTTGAAACTGGACACAAACAGCTCTGGAGCTGTTGTGCATTTTCAGGTACTAACTGTGCACTGCTGGAACTGCATAGCTGGTCAGCTCCATGATCCCCTCTACAGTGAGAACGGCTTGGCACGTGTGGCCTGTCTACACTTATGGTGTGATTCACCAGCCAGTTGCATAATATTTGTAATGTGTAGTGGGGTTTTGAGACAATTCAGGTAGGTTGAAGCTCCAAGCCCTCATGATGGACATTGCTTCTCCTGTTCCTTTGTGTTGGGAGTTCACAGTCCAGTGTGCGAGAGGCCGACTTGTACCTGTCTCACCACCACGTGGTTTTCCTTTCTGGCATCTTCTCACTCTGCCTCCTGTTCCATTCCAGTTTCTCTCTCACGCTGATTGATGCCTTGGACACACTACTTGTAAGTACCCCTCGACAGTCTTCCCTTGGTTACTTCCATCTTCCTGATGCCATGCCCCTATGGTTTCTGTGCCTTTCAGACATCCTTCATTTAAAGACCTGTATTCTCCTCTGTTCCTTACATCTACTCTTCACCCACTTGTGACTGTGAAAACAATTTAATACATTGTTTTACTGTGGATATTTCCAATGGTTTTCGGCTTTGCTAGTTGCCATATGGGCCTGGGAGGGAATTCCTCTCACTGTCCTGCTGCTACATGTGTCAGGGTTTTTTAAGCCTTCCTCAGAGGCATTGGGTGTTGGCTGCAGCCAAAGCTGGGGACTTTGACTGGGGTGTGTCAGTGCTTCCACTGAGACTTAAAGCCAGAGGTTCCAAGCTAGGAGAGGGGGTCTTGCCTCTCCACTCAGGGTTAGATTGATCACCATATTTGGGCTCAGGAAGGAATTTTACCCTGTGGTCAGATTGGTATGGACTGTGAGAGGGGTGGGGGTTTGCCTTCCTCTGTAGCAGGGAGAGTGGCTGTTTTCCTTGGATCTCTCAAATGTACTTTCAACAACCTTTGCAGGACAGTGGCTGCCATG